ATAGTCCTATGATATACATTCAGATGATTTTCAACAACTTTGCAAAGGTGATTCAGTAGGAAAAAAAAGTCTTTTCAAAAGTAGTTTGGGGGAATTCCCTGGCAGTCCAGCGGTTAGGACTCCACACTTCCACTGCAGGGGGCATGGGTTCAATCCCTGGTTGGGGAACTAAGATCCCTCAAGCCGCGTGGTGAAGCCAAAAAATAAAAAAAAAAAAAGTAGTGCTGGAACATTAGATACTCATATGCAAAAATATGAATTTTATTCATATCTCACACCATACATAAATATCAACTCAAAATGGATAAGAGCCCTAAATATAAAACAGAAAACTAGAAAACTTCTAGAAAAACATGTACAAGAAAAACTTTGTAATCTTGAGTAAGGCAAAAATTTCTCAGATATAACATTAAAATCATGATCCATAAAAGAAAAAACAGATAAATTGGGCTTTATCAAAATTAAGAACGTCTCTTCCAAAGACACTGTTAAAAGAATGAAAAGGCATGCCATAGACTGGGAGAAAATATGTGCAAGTCATATAATCTGAAAAGGGAATGAAAGAAGGCAGACAAAAAAGAGCACATACTGAGTAATTCTATTTTATAAAACTTCAGAAAGTACAAACTAATCTATAGTGACAGAAAGGAAACCAGTGGTTGCCAGGGGATGGGGGAAAAACGGATCACAAAGGGGCACAAGGAAGCTCTTTGGGGTGATGGATATTTTCAGCATCATGATTTCAGGGATGGTTTCAAAGGTATATACAAACACCAAAACTTACCAAATTGTATACTTTATACATGTGTACATAAGTTATACTTCAATAAAGTTGTTTTTTATAAAAACAAAAAAATATACTGAAGCTGTGTTTCAGAATTAAAGAATGTATTAAAATGTACCAGAGGAAAATATAATTAATATTTTATAACCTTAAAATAGAGATCATTCTAAGCACAACATGAAAACTTGAAACTAAATAAAGCAGTTATAAAATTAAATTTTAAAATAAATTTTACTACCTAAAAATATAAACCTTATATGTTAAAAGAATACAAGTAGTTAATAACAATTACAAAATTTCTATGCTAACAAATAATTTAGAAATGCAAATTTTAAAAAGAGATGTCATATTTCACCTAACCATGTCAAAAATTTTAAAAGCTTTAAATCCAGCTGCTATCCTGGGTACAAACCCTGATGTTGGGCTTGTAACCTGATACAGTTATTCTGGAAGTAACTTTGGCATTTGAATAAAGTTTTCAAATGTGCATATCCTTTAACTCAGTCATTTATCTTCAAGGAATTTCTCCAAAGAGAAACAGAGAAGTACAAAAAAGCTATGTACATGGCACCCCTAAACAATAGAATATTATGTAAACATTAAAATACAAATTCGTTGACAAGGAAAGATAGCCATATATCTGAGTACCATAAAAGGCTGCTTCAATAGCACGCTATTTGTTATTACTTTTTTTTTTTTTTTTTTTTTTTTGCGGTACGCGGGCCTCTCACTGTCGTGGCCTCTCCCGTTGCGGAGCACAGGCTCCGGACGTGCAGGCTCAGTGGCCATGGCTCACGGGCCCAGCCGCTCCACGGCATGTGGGATCCTCCTGGACCGGGGCACAAACCCGCGTCCCCTGCATCGGCAGGCGGACTCTCAACCACTGCGCCACCAGGGAAGCCCTGTTATTACATTTATGTAAAATTTTTGTGTAAAATTACTGGTATCATGGCATACACTGAATGTCAGCTAATTTAACATCTATTCCCAGCCTCTTTTTCCCCAGCCCATCTACATTAGTTCTCAGCCCCCTTTACTGCTAGAAGAGGCCATGTGACAGTATTTTGGCTATTGAGGCCTAAGTAGAAATCTAAGAAGTTTATGGAAACATGCCTTTCTGATAAAAGTTACAGTCATTGCTATAGCTATCTCTTTCCCCTACCTCCTGCCCTGTAGTCATTTATGATGACTTAAGCCAAAGCAGCTATCTTATTGCCATGGAACAAGCCAACACACTAGAGAATGCACATTGCAAAGAAAGAAAAAAGCTGGGTCTTTGATAACATTCACAAACCACTATACCAGCTTCCACTGCCCACTTGTGGACCTCTCTTTATTTGAGATAAAAAATACATATTACCTTGCTTAAGTCACATTTAGCCAAAATCACTCCAGATAATTATTTATATATATATGTAAATAAATATTTTCTATATAGCCATTAAGCACATTAAGGCTTTTTATAATTATAATATTCTCTACTGGCCAGTATTTGGGGCACTAGACACCTCCATTCAAACATTGTTGATAGAGTTATCTCAAGAATGCACAGTAGGGCATCAAAGAAGTAATAATAGGGCTTCCCTGGTGGCGCAGTGGTTGAGAGTCCGCCTGCCGATGCAGGGGACACGGGTTCGTGCCCCGGTCCGGGAAGATCCCACATGCCGCGGAGCGGCTGGGCCCGTGAGCCATGGCCGCTGAGCCTGCACGTCCGGAGCCTGTGCTCCGCAACGGGAGAGGCCACAACAGTGAGAGGCCCGCATACCGCAAAAAAAAAAAAAGAAATAATAAATTTAGAGAAATATTGCTATAATATATTTACAATATGAATACACTGAAAACAACATAAATATAGAAAAATATAATGCTGGCCAAATTATTTATGATAGAATAGTATGTAATCATTAAAATCATAAAATAAAAAATCTAATTATATAGAAAGGTGTCTCACAACAATATGCAAAGTAATATTCTTTGGGGGGATGAAATGCTTAGAAAAAATATTTTTTAAAAGAGTAGGGAAATGTAATGAAATATAAGTAGATATTTCTGGGTGTAAGAATTACCAGTAACTTTCATTTTCTTCTTTTTGGTTATTCATTCCTAAATTTCACATTTCTTTTGTAATAAGAAAAATTAATTTTAAATATACAAAAAGAAGAACTGAAATAGACAAATAGGAAGAGATGTAGATTAAAAGTAGTTTTATTTCTTCTCTATGAAGATCATTAATTTTATTTCTGTTAAAAAATAACTTCTAATAGCAACTTTAACATCATATATAGCAAGAGTGAAACGTATCATGAAAAGTGAAAAAGTAGCAAGAGTACTTCTTTTAAACAATTACAGGATTCCAGCATGTTTAATATGAACACAAATCTGGAAACTCAAAAAAAGAACAAACTATATTACATAAATTGACTCAGGGGAAATTTTTAAAATTTGTCATTCAGTCCCATTTCTAAAGTGAATAAGAAGCAAATATATGCTGATGAGCCTAAGATACCTGTGACATCAAAACAACTGAGTCCAAAATCAGGACAGATGAGTTATAAGCTTTCCTTAGTACTTCTTAACCAATCCATAGCTTACAGAGTTTCCCTCTCTGGTCAAAAGCATACATTCTTATTCAATCTCTATCGGTTTCAGTCATCTACAGTAAAGATTGACCACTCAGAAGCCAGAGTCTTAAACATTTTTCAAAGGCATCAATAAATTTGGTGCGCAACATACAATTTCCAACTATGTTGTCAGGATAGAATAGGAGACCAAGGAACTAGTATGTTTGCATAAGATGTTATAAAGGTAGTGACTCTCTGCCTTTTTTTTTTTTTTTTTTTTTTTTTTTTGGTACGCGGGCCTCTCACTGTGTGGCCTCTCCCACCGCGGAGCACAGGCTCCGGACGCACGGGCTCAGCGGCCATGGCTCACGGGCCCAGCTGCTCCACAGCATGTGGGATCTTCCCGGACCAGGGCACGAACCCGTGTCCCCTGCATCGGCAGGTGGACTCTCAACCACTGTGCCACCAGGGAAGCCCCTCTCTGCCTTTTTTAGAATCCAAATTTATTATAAGAAAATTGACGAAGAAGAAAGGGAATGAAAGGGAATTAGAAACCAAAAGGTACAAAACTATTTGCTAACTACACACACACACACACACACACACACACACACACACACACTCATTCATTCAAACTCATTCAAACTAAATAGATTAACTGTAATAAAGAGCATCTTGGAGATTTTTCATAGAGTTATATATAAATAAAGCTTTTTAAAACACTTCAAATTAATGAAAAATAAATTTTAATCACTTTAAGTAGGTAATAACACAAAAGTTGACTTACCATAAATTTCTAAACCTTGTGGGAAATACTTGTATTCTAAATCCATCCACTAATGCAAGGATGAAGATGCATCTTACAGTCAACAGTGCTGATTTTTAATGATGGATTTAAAAGGGTCGATTTAATTCCCAGATTATTTTTTTTAATTCCACCTCATCACCAAGAAAGGTAATAGATGCGACACATTAGAAACCCTGGCAACTAAAGATGTTTTATCCAATCAATGCCTCTCTCTTTTCTAAGCTATTCAAAAAGAAAAACCAACACCTGGAGAAAGTCACACCTTCACAAATTACCAATAATGTTCATTGTGATATTCTAGCTTTATACATGTAGCCCCTTCTAAAGCACTGGAGGCAAAGAATGAACATTGCCCCCTCCAGCTGCTGAAGACAGCACAACCACATAGAGCACCCACTTATGAGGTTACTTTTCAGGGGCATAAGAATATGCTTTTAAAAGGTACCTTTCCAAAAACCTACAATGAAGACGAATAATAAATATTTACATGCTTAGAAAAGGGATATATTTGAAAACCTACAATAAAGATGAATAATAAATATTTACATTCCAAGCCAAAAAATTCCACAGTCTAAAAAGAAACATTTGATGTTTTCATTTCTGAATACTGAAGCAAAATAATGATTATAATAATTTTAATCAAACTTAAAAGGTACGCTTTATTACCTTGTTGATATAAGCTATTTCCTTTGAACTCGCAAACAGAATGAAAAAATCCTTGAGGCACTTTTATATTCTGACTTAACAATTATCTGATAATTACCCCATCATTACCTGCTGATGAAGGATTCCATTCTAAATTCTTAACATTTCTGATGTTACAGGCATGTTACTTCAAGAGTCCTACCTGGAAAGAGACTGAGAAGACTGACTGGAGATTTGTTGGTATCAATAGTTAGTTTGTGGCTTGCAGTTTTTGAAGGCTGGCCTGGTAAGCAGATTAATTTCAGGGGAAGTCTAAACTTACATTGGCTAACTCGAGGAATGCCTGAAATAAAGAGAAACATATATTCATAAATTTGACAAATAAGAAAAATATTGTACTACTAATAGTAGTACATAGTAGCAACATATCTTAGTTTAAATGTTTGTTACCTGCCCATTTCATTTAGCATAACTGAAATAACTGGAAAGCATTATCATAATTTATGTTTTTACTTTATTGTCAAAAAGTGCAAGGCAAAAATAAAATCTTAAAAAGGAGCATAGGGGTAAACTCTGCCTTTAATAGTAATATCATATTTTTAAAATCATCACAGTTGAATGCTATATAAAACATTATATGTAGTTATATTCAATTACTGAACTGTCTTTAAGACCTTCAAAGCTCTAGCCCTAAACCCAAGATTATCCGCTAAAATGAGCAAAGAATATGAAATTTATATCAGGAAGACTCTATATGACCATATCTAATCATTTCTTTACCCCTCGAATTTTTTAATTTTTGTTTTTTTACTTATTGAAGATTCAAAATACAATTAACAATTTGCAATAAATTATGAGCATGAAAGCAGAATTTGCCCTACTGAAGTTCTAATGAAGTTCATTCTAATGTCATTTTACACATCAATATGAAGAATATTACTTTCATACAAATTGAATTTTTCTCAATCCATTTAACTTTACATATCACTGTTAAGCAACATTTTGAAAGGCTTACATAGTCATTCAATTCTCAAATTTTTTCAGAAAGTATACAGGTATATTGAAATAAGTAACTGCATAAATAAATAACAATGAAGAGTTTTATATCAGAATTTAAAGTTTTTAAAAATCATTCCTTTTAATATTTTTACAAAGAATGAAACTGAAACCAAAGCAAATTAAGCTCTCTACTTATAAATCAAGTAAAGCAATTCTACAACTTTAGTTCTCTCTCCTTTTATACTAGGATTCTATTTTTGACTGGATAAGACAAAAGATAATATACAGAAAACTATATCTTAGTAAACTACTGTAGAAAAAAGGAAAACTTAAAATGTTCTACTCTACTGGATAGATCCACACATTAATTCCTTTATTTCTTTACAGTGGAGTCAGAGAGCAGCTTAAAAATAGCAAAAGCGGAAGCAGTAAAGTTTGGAGACATGATCCCAAATAGGATTCCGAGAATTAGCAATATATTTTGTTAATGCCAATTGGAGTTGTGTGGTTTACTCTATAACCAAGCTGGGAGTACACTTTTCAGAACTACTTATTCACTAGGATAGTAAGAGATCAACAATGGCAAGCATATTGATATATGAAGCCAATTAAATACTTTTTCAGAGCATGTGGAGCATATTTGTCATTCTCTTCAACATAATCTATTATCCATCAAATTTTACATACCTCATTTTTTGCTCATAACCAACAGATGTTAAATTCACTTCTCCTGGAATCCTAGATGCAAACTATAACTGGTGTCTCTTCAGAGAAGTCCCAGGGTATTATTTCCTGACATTTTGTGAGGTTTTAGAGGCATGTGTATTTGTACTTTAAAATGATGAAATGTTTTGACTCAAAATATTATGGTAACGTGATCTAAGCTACTGCTCAGACCACAACTATCAATAACACTACAAAAAATATTACAAAGCATTATTTTTTCCAACTTCATATATTCCATATATCCCCAAATTATGGAAATATACCTACTAATGTTTTTCCTCTACAATATATAAATTACAGCCTCAATTAATAGATGCAGTCTGGAAAGAACAAGGAAACTGAAACCTAGTTCCAGTTCCTTCATTTTCAATGAATAGAATAACAGGGAAAAAATGCTTCATCTTCTGACAATTCTGTACATGCACAAAGAGAAGCTATCTTCTATGTACTTTCAACCAAAGTCTGAGTTAATTGTTCAAATAAAATTTGGCTATAAATGCTCTTCTAAAACTACACTGCTGAAACTGTGGCTCTACTTCACTTGGACCAGGTACTGACTGAATTTGTGGTGAAACAAAATTAATCATGATCAACAACACTAGCCTTATGTTACTTAGATTATTACCCTAAAACTCCAAGAACCCAGAGCTAAAGAAACTGGTGGTGTATAAATGTTTCAGAAATTGAAACAAATGGATTGCAAGCACTAATAAACCCAAGAAGGGAAATACATTGTAACTCAATTCACAGCTCAGTTAAGTCAGTTAATGACAATATCACACACTAGGGCAATGGTCTGCAGTTGCTAAGATTTGAAGAACCCCTCCAGAATTTCTTTTCTCTCCAGGAATTGTAAACCTGTTTCACAGGACATTTGGAAAACATTACTTTAAAAAATGATGACCCTCATACTTAATAAAATGATTATGGCTATTTTTTAAATGATGGCAGCTTGAAAAGTTTTACCATTGGGGGGGAAAAAAAAGAGTATGAAATCCTTTAGAAACCAGTTTAAGGAAACCATACCTTTAAAAAGAAAAATTATACTGCCAATATTTTATATTACTTCCCATCAAATTAAAACCCGAACATTTCAAAATATAATGTCTAGTATTTAGACATGGAGTTTATCAGCGGCACATTTCTATTGAGATTTACATTTTCTTAAGAAACTTGGAATGCAGATTTGGCTACCAGTTACTCTTCAGGCTATAACTGTAGCTAAGAACCTGAAGCCAGAAACATGTAGAGGTGTGTGTGAGTGTATGCATATGTGTATCTGTAATAAGGAAGGAAAGAGTTATATTGCACTTAAAGACTTTCCAAAGTTGCTAGTAGGATAGCTTTCAACTCAGTTGAAAGAGCCTAACTGATCCTAACTGCCTACCATCAGTGATATTTAGTTGGCAAAACAGTCTCTATTTGGCTTATTCAACTCTCTGAATATAATGCTGAGAGAAAAGAAGAATTTGGTCATTTGTAATACTCAAATATTGGCCTACTCACTCATCAGACTGACTTTTTCCTACAGTTTTTAAACAAATATAATCACCTCTCCTTCAAACACTTCCCCTTCTAGCCTACTAGAGGAAATAGATAGTCGCAACTACCATGGTGCAATTAATCACAAAATTATTTAACACTTAGAGAGAAAATTCAGATCAAAATCACTCCTGACAGAACAATTTTTCCAGGAAGAGAATTCTAATTACCCCTGGCACACCCAAGAGACCAGTATCACTGTCAAGAGGGATGCCAAAATGTGCTTTAAAAAAAAGAAAAAAGAACTTATATACCAGAGTAGAATAACTATATCTATATATTACACATCTACATAATGCCTTTAGAACTCTTTCCAGGGGCCTGCTAGAGTCATTTCTTATTGAAAACAAGGAACCCCAAAGCAGTAGCAATGTCTGGTAGCCAGAACTTCCTTGATCCCTTCCTGTTATGTCTGGCTATGTACTGTGCTCCATCTGCAGTCATGTTTTACACTGCCCATGTCATGTAACTTTAATGCAGAAATAATGGAGACAAACTCTTATGGGACAACATAAAACCTCGTTTGCTTCTCTTTTTCCATATGTAAAAGCAGGACTGCTTATCTGCAATACAGCCTGAACAGATCAGGCCAATAAAATGGAAAAGTCTTTGAAATCTGAAGCCTTATGTAAGTAAGATCTAAGTGGCAACATATTATTTTCTTGCCTACTAGGTAAAGCTGAATATTTCAACTCTACTCCCTGAAGCTTAATTATAATTTTAAAATATATAATAAGAGATTATTAAAACCATCTTCAGGTTTGCATTGAAATACTAAAATTTCCATATATTGTGATTTTTTTTTCTCATGGTTTGATCTGAATTTTTAGTAAGAGGAAATAAATTCCTTTCAGTAATAACCTTTACTGATTTTTTTAAAACTCAAAACAAATAATTTAAATAATAATATTGAATTTTATAAAAGTTATTGCAAAATCTTATCAGTTAATGAAATCTTGCAAAGTAAAATGTAAATATTCATTATTAAAATTATTTTTAATAACCCAAATTCTAATTTGACAAGTATACTTTATACTATTAAGCTAAAAGCTTACCTCTATTAAAATATTTCTCATATAAATATATATTCACCTCCCAGACACTATGCAACTCAGGTTGTTGGCACCACCAAAACTATATGAGTAAATAATGCCATTATTTTTAAGTATTTTATTTATCTAATTATTACTAATTAATATTATCTAATACTAATCTAAAATGGCTATTAAACTAAGACAAACCATCACATTAAGTCTGTGTCTAGGAGGAAAAATAATCAAAGTAGAAGATCCTTATAGAGTACCTGTCATATAACCAGATACTGCACAAGCCTAAGTACTTGAACCCTGCTCTTAAAGAGCTCAAAAATCTACTAGGGGAACCTAAGGAACAGACTTAATGAAATTCATAGTATGATAAGTATTATAGCAGAGTAATAAACAAAGGATTTGGGGAAAACAAAATGGTGACAACACTGACCCAGGCAAGTTCAAGGGGTCGGTCCCTTGATGATATTCCCCCACAAATTCTAACAAGACAAGAAATAGGCCCATAGAATGAGTACACATGGCATTCTGATCAAAGAGGTGAATATTTTGGGGTATACAGAATCATACAATTTAGAATTCAGAATTTTTTTCCTTACTCTTTTTAAGTAAACCAAGATAACTGAGCATACAGGTAAATCACCAATGACTTACAAAAATAAGTTGTCAGTGGTGCCTTTGGTTTTGTTCAAAAAAGTCATGGAGCTTCATTGTTTCTCATGACTCTGAAACAACTAATAATGAATAACAAGTATCTATAAGTGGAAACATATACTAGCTTCTCCATAGCCAGATCAAGGCACTGAATCACCCTAAAGAGGTTGCTATAGTTAAAACAGTAGTCCATAAAAAGAATTCATTCATGGTATAATACCAATTGAATTAACTGACCAAATTTCAGTTCTGAAATTCATTTTGTTCTAAATTATCTTTTCACTTACCCTCAGGATTTCGATCTATCCATCAGAGGCAATTCAAAAAGGGATAGGGTAGAAAATGTAACAAATTATCTGTTATAAAATTACAACACAAACTTAACACATATCTGCTTAAAATATAATTCAAAATTTTCAAGATTCTTACAGATGATTTAAATGGCCCTCCAATAAAGATAAGCCAATTCACAATTGAAGAATATAACATGAATAAATGAAATCTAACAATATATTTCATCCATTCTCAGAAGTCCATGAGAGGGTGTTATTCCAGTATAAATGTGGCAAAAAGAGGTAAAGATACATGATCTAGCCAAAAGCAAACCAGACTCAATATGTAAATGACATCAAGAGCATTAAATGAATTTTCTGGAAAAAATCTGAGTGAAAGACAAATATATAATATTAATATTTCCAGTTAGTCTTGCTTATATTATAACTTTAGTTAATAGATACTACTATGGAACAATGTCTATTTTTTTTTTCAGCTTGTCTTGGTATTCTTTTACTTTTATAGACTTGTTTTTACTCTAACTTCTAACTAACTTTCAACCAATTAATGCCTATGCTCTTTGGTTTAGTAACAATTTAGTCTTTCAAATTCTGTCTTTAGAAAAGCATAATAGCTAAAAATGGTATGTGCAACCATAAGCTCACTGAATGATTTTATAACTTTGTAATGAATTTTTAAGCCTTTTGTCCACTTGCTAGGTAATCCATTTCTTTGTTTTCAACCACTATCACTACTTTTCCTTGAAAGCAAATGAAATAACTAGTTGAATTAAGGCATCAACAATCTCTATAACTACATACACAAGGTGTAACAAAGATAAAAAGTATTATCATGCCTATGATTATTGAGATGTTCAATTAATGATAAATGATCTAGAGATTTTAGCCAACATTTCCTGATTTTTATTTCACAACTCAAAATTAAAATAACACTGAACATTTCAATGCTCTTTTCAGAAACATCCAACTAAGAAGTCCATCATTCTTTGATCCCTTACAGAAGATTTGTATTTCTCTCCAAAGCCAGCTTTCGCAAAGCCATTTAACCATAAAATATTTATGTTACCCCAAATTTTGAAAATATAGGTAAATGGTTAAAGTGGTCACTTCTGGCCAGAAATGATTTTTTTATAATTTAAAGCAAAATAACTTACAAAGAAGGAGAAACAGATTTTGAAAACATGTACTAAAGTTACAAAATCACCTCCAAGCATAGAGTCGTCAATGCATAAAACAGAAAATTCACTTAGACAAAATAAGAACTACTATTATTAAAAACATTGCCAAGGTGCCTTGTTAGCACAGTAGGTAGTTGCATCAGTCTCATAAAAACATTGCTAAGTAAGCAAAGTAGGTATCAACAGAGAGAAAAAAATATGAATAAGGCATCTCTAAGCTTTTTAAATTAAGAAAACTGTACAGAAATGCTTAAAAAACACAAATGCAACATGGTTGAAATACCCTATTAGTTACACTACATTTAAACGTTTTTTAAAAAAAGCAATAACTAATTATTCTATCAATCAACTAATTGTCAAACTGTTACTATGAAAAATTCACTACACACACACACACACACACACACACACACAAAACTATAAAATTGAACCCAAGTTGAAATTTATAATAATTACATCTCAACTGGACCAAAGATAACATTTTTGATCTATTAAGTTTCTTGAAATAATACAGATCCTGTTCTTAAATATTTTAACATGTAAGATAATAGTTTTATTTAATCACTAAAGCGGTGTTTGAAACTCTGAAGACTGACTTAATATTATAGCAACCCATAATAGTCTTTTTTAGTAATTCAGACTAGGTTTTGCTCTTTAGTTCAAATACATGAAGTCTGACTAGATAACATTCTTCTAGTGGGAATAAAAATACATCATATTTGCTATTAATTGAAAAGATAGAATCAAACATTACATATGGAAATCAGCTAAATAGACTATCACTAATTATTCATAACACATCAAAGTAATTTGAACATACATTTTTATTTAACACTAGAAAAGAGTATTTTTTCATTTAATAATATTTTACAATGTGTTTTCCCATTTTAAACACTTACACATTTAACTCATAACTCCAGTAACTTAAAAGAAGTGATTAGGCTTGTAGATTCATGAACAACTGTATGCTTACCTGTAGGTCTGGAATAAGAAACAACAGCATTTCCCTCCAGTTCAGGTGGTAAATAACTTCCTTTCAGATAAACAGAAAAGCCTACTGTTCTAGTCATCTCTGGTGCTATAAGCAATGTAAAAATAATATATTACATAATTTTGGACAATTATTATTAACAAACAGTTAAAATTAGATATATACTGCATGCCAGCTACTGTCTTAAGCACTTTACATAACAATTATAGAGATTAACTCATTGAATCCTCACAACAACCCTACATGGTGGGTATTATTATTATCCCCATTTTTTGGTGCATGAGGAAAATGGTTACAAAGAGATTAAAAAGCTTGCCCAAGGTCACATAGCTAATACAGAGCTGGGAATTGACTCCAGAACAAGGGTACCTAACATTCTACACCACTGCTTCTCTTTACTCAGATGAACAGGCAGCATGAACAAAGCAAAAGGTACGCAAAGGGCAAGAGAATTTGGGAGTGGGAAATAGTACCTTATCATGGCTACAACACAGACTGCAGGAGAAAATGGAAGGGGGAACTGGATATCGATGTAACTAAAACTGTGGCAACTTGGCAGATTGTGCATAGCCTTCCATATTCATGTATTTGACCTCCAACCTGCACTAGAGAGCTATAAGAGGTTTTTAACTTGAAAAATTAATGGTCCAGAATGTGTTTTAGAAAGACAAGTTGGAAGTATTGTGAAAAATTAAAAAATAAAGTGAGATATCACCTACAAGTTTCCTCAACCATTCAATCACTCATTCACTGAGTCAATGAATACTTACTGAGTTTCTACTATCTGTCGGGCACCTAAGGTAGGGGATGGTTATAAAAAGGAAAAAAGAGAGATATGTTCTTGCTTTTTGTGAATAAGACATAGGGTTCCCAGCTGAACAGTAGCAGTGAAGAAAGACAGAAAAAGACTTGAAAGATAATTCAGAAATCATTTTAACAGGACTAATGACAACTGGATGTAAGTGGTAAGAGAGACCCTATGCAAAGAAATCTTAGGCATTATTACAGTTACCTTACATAGATTCATTTTCTAATTAAGTCCAATTAATTTTCTGATTAAATTCTAATTAAAACAGTTCTGTAACACAGATGTCATTATCCCCTTTCTGCAGATTAAAACAAAACAAAACTGAGGCTCCCAGTAATTACTAAAGTAGCTTGTCCATGGTTACACATTGAGTGTCAGAGCCAGGATTCAAATTCAGGCCAGACTCCAAAGCCAATATTCTTTCTTCAAACATTACAGATTCAATAAATAGCTCACTAGAGAAACACCAATAAAAAAGCCTTCCAAAATATAGTATTTAAGTACAATTATTAAGAAAAGCGCTTGAAAATCTGTAACTACTTCAACTCAACAGCCATTCACTGAATGTCCATGCTTGATGTTTGGAGGGAAAATATAAGCAAAACAACACAATCATTGATTTCAGGAAGATACCAGTCTCACTATTCAGACAAGAAATATAGCCATGAAATAAACCCACTGATAAAAAAAATTTTAATTAAAAAAAAGCTCACACCATGATAGACTTTAAGCCAAAACAAAACACTTACCCATAAATTCAAAGGTGAACTGATCACAAGTCAATACTAAAGGTGGTTGTACATAGACCGATAATCTGATCTTTTGTAATGTCACTCGATTCTGCAGTGTGACCTGAGAAAATAGAAATCGTTATTAATAAAAAAATTACATTTTTTCCAAATTGATAGAATATCACAACTACTTAAAAAATCATTAGCAAATAATTAGGAAATACCATCTGAGAAAAAAAAATGAGCTGTCACAAAACATAACCTGTAACATAGGTAGTAGATTAAAAAGTTCTACTCAGAAACTGGGCAAGGGAGTTGAACAGACTTTTCTCCAAGAAGATGTACAAATAGCCAATAAGCACGTGAAAAAATGCTCAAAATCTTTGTATGAAATACAAAGTAAAACCACAATGAGATACTACTACACATCTACTTAAATGCTATAACCAAAAGGACAGACAAAAACAGGTGTTAGCAAGAATGTAGAGAAACTAGAACCTGCATAAATTGCTGATGGAAATGTAAAATGGTATAGCCATTCAAGAAAAAAGTTTGACAGTTTCTTTAAAACTTAAACATAAAATTACCATCTGACCTCACAATTCCATGCCAAGAGAAATGAAACATATGTCCACCCAAAAACTTGTACACATGTTCATAGCAGTACTATTCATAATAGCTAAAACTAGAAACAACCCAAGTGTCCATCAACTGATGAATGGACAAACAAAATATGGTATATCTCTACAATGAAATGTTATTCAGAATAATATTTAATAATATTAATAATAATAAAAAGAAATGAAGTACTGACACATGCTACAACATGGGTACATTATACTATGCTAAGCGAAAGAAGCCAGTCACAAAGACCACATATTATATGATTCAATTTATATGAGATATCTAGAGGGGGCAAATCTATAAATCTACAGAGACAGAAAATAGACTAGTAGTTGCTTTGGGATAGTAGTGGGATTGGGGGTGGGGGAATGGAGAGAACAGCAAGTGACAGCTAATGAATATGGGGTTTCCCTTGGAGGGACAAAAATGTTCAAAAATTAAATTGTGGTCATCATTCTACAACTCTGCAAATATACTAAAAATCATTGAATTGTACACTTTAAAAGAGCAAATTGTATGGTATGTGAATTATATCTCAATAAAGCTACTAAAAAATGTTCTCTCAAAAGCAGACCAAAAAAATCTGCCCTCATGTCTGGTGAATAACGACATCATGAAATATTATATGTGTTCATTCTTCTTTACATGTATAGATGTGGCATCATGAATTATTTATTTTATCTAGTATCAGTATATTACCTTTTACACAAGTTACGCTCTAAAGATTTCCTTTCTAGGTAAGTATTTACTATCAATAGTTTAAATACATATCAAAGCACTAAATTTTCTTCCACAGCTTAATACAAAAATACCTGACATAACTAATTCTAGAAAATATCAAAGAATGGCAATAACTAATTCTAGAAAATATCAAAGAATGGCAATAATGACTGCTGCATTTCTAAGCTGGCTGCATTTCCAAACTGGTGCTCTTAGTTGATGATGCTTGGAATGATAATTCCCATTCCAGTCAGAGTTAATAGCTATGAATTCTGGGTTAATAGTTTGACTGAGAAATAGGGTGGGTATGGGCAGAGAAAGCCAGGACTTCTCTCACTCACCCTGAGGAGGAACGTCAATAGAATCCATCAGGCCCAAGGATCTTTACTGGGCCACAGTGCTAGGGGCATCAAAGAAAAAGCTTAAAGATCTGGCTTCCATTGGGAACATTCTCTCTTTGGATTTTGTCTCCTAAAAGCCCCAGCCTCTTTGAACAGTCTCTTTGGATGAGTTTATCCACATGGTAAGCCAGATTTATCACAGTCACTGGCCAGGTAGAGTTCCTAGACCAACTAAATCACAATCTCTGGGAGTAGACCTGGGTATTGGTATTGCTTTAATAGTTCCCCAGGTGATAGCTATTTACAACCAGAGTTGAGAAGCACTCTTCTATTATACATGGCACCTTTGCTATGGAATAATTTAGTCTAGTTACTAGACTCTAGTATATGAGACAGATACATTCCATTATTAATTGACATAATGCAAGGGCATACTTAATTTTTAAGAAAAGTCATTTTGAATTTTCTCTTAGGTAAAAGGCATGTATCAACTATTCCTTAATTATATATATACATACATACTATAGATAAACAATATACAAGAATATACATCTGGCCCACAAACATTATACACATATAATTAGATTCAGTAAATGTCTTGTATTAATTTTAAATGATGTGGATATTCTGTACAACTTAAAATAAGCACAAAATTTTTGACTTGCAAAGTAAAAATTTTAAAGGACAACTATTGATGCAAATAAGTACAATAAACACAGCAAATGAACAATGAACCCTCAATTTTTACTTTATAAGCCCTGGGAATACATGGGGGGAAATCTGCATACCACAAAGATTCTGTAATGATATGTGACCATTATAAAAAGCATAATACCTTTTTAATAAAACACTGATGGTAATTATGGGAAGAAGAAAGTACGCATGTGCTGTAGACATGATAGCTATTCCACTAAATAAACAGAACGCAATTTCAATATTTTACTGTTAACAATAATATGCTGGTCTGTACATATATTTTTAAATAAAATTAATGATAATAATCATTAGCAGCTTTCTATATTCATGAAACCATGCTAATAAATTATTTATGTGTATTATCTCATTTAATCATTACAACATTGTGAAACAGGTACTATCACAATATACCATTTTACATAAGAGAAAAATGTGGCTCAGAGAAGCTAGATAATTTGACTAAGGCTACTCTGATTATAAGTGGAAGAAGCACAATTTAACTTCTGTCTGTCAGAATCCAGAGCCCACACTCTTTAATCAATTGTGGTTAAGTCCCAAAATAACTCTGCAAATGAAGAAGTACCGTCATTTTACAGTTTAAAAATAGAGGTTCACAGAAGCTCAATAATACGTCTAAGACCATCCAGCCAATGTGTGCAAGAGAGATGAAAATTATGACCAGGAACATCTCGTGAGAGGTTAGTTTTAAAAATGAAAATGAAAAATCCTTAAGGTAGAATAAGCCATTTTTAAGACAGCAGACGTTCTGACTCTGCCTGGCATAACAACATGTACTTAGACAACAATCGTACAATTTTACATTGTTACAAGTGCTTGCATTTAGTTTAGATGCAAGATCAATGGTGATAACTCTCATACACAGATCTATTGAATCCCAACAATGGACTAGGCACTTTCAAAAGTGAATCAAGAAGATGTGTGACAAAAATAACTACAGTAACAAAGAAGAGTTTGTTTGAGCCAAAAAAAAGAGTTAAAGACTTGGCTAGGCCATAAACCTCATATTTTAAGAGAAAAATAATTATAGATTAAGGGGGAAATATGAAAATTAATATCTGAATTTCCCATGCTATTTTCCATTCCTAACAAAATAAAATATGATCCTCAGGAAACATAATACTAAATTTTTATCCTAGATATATAAACATGACTCCAAAGGCCAGGTATTAACAACCACTCTGCCTTAGTTGCCTGCAATAGATAGATGGTCACGCATCACGCACACACACTCAAGGTAGCCACATCTTCATTCACTTGGAACGGATGGAAAAATTTTCTCAATTAACAGGATTTACTATGATGGAAACTTCCATGGTTATATATCTTGGCTGCTGTTGTTATAAAAGGCTATAAGGAGAGATTTATAACAGAAATTTGTATAGGAACTGTCAGGCAGAATCAGGAAGTCATGGTGTCTGCCGCTTAAGTCCAGCTGATTTTGTGCAACTCTTGTGTGTCGCATTCTTTCCCATTCTTTTATAATGGCCATAAGGAAGAGAGCTGTGACTTAGCCATTCTCAAACATAGTTAAGTGTTATTCTCCTAATGAAGGAGAATTTTCCAATAGTGTCATGCCACCATTTTAAGGTGGCTATTACACATGAAAGCTTAAGAACGGCATGGGAGGGAAATGTGTATTTATTTATAGCAGTAACTAGTAGTGAGGGAAAAAATTAGCATGAGCAAAGTTATCTGGTTTAGGTACAAGATTTCTTTTTGCAATTTGCAGTGTGCTCCTGAATTATTATGTTATGTGTCAGAACAATATCAGTAGATAGATATAAAAGAGATTTCCCTACACAGAAGTCTATAGATCATTCCTGGAACGCTACAGGGTTGTTGGTTTTTTTTTCTTAAATGATTGATTTCTTGCCACTAATGCTTTTCCAGACTCAGAAGTATTAATGGGATAGAGCCTTTGATTGGACAGGGGGAATGGAGACTGGGAAAAGACCACCCTTGCTACCAGTGGCAAGAATCCAAAAAAATTAGCTTAGGAAACTGTTATAAGATTGGGCTCCCTTCAACTTCTACCAAAGATCCCCACACTTGGGCCACCCGCTGGGTCTAGTATAAGCGAACACAACTGGTAAAGCCTGGTGCCCTGTCAAACTCCTCCAAGGACAGCAACCCATAATCTAAGAAAATATAAAGCCCTGTCCAAGTTTTGACTTAGCAAATCGCCAAGATCCACAACTTTCCCTGGCTCCAAAGTCTGGGCAGTGATAAATACTTTCAGCTTAATAATGTGCTGACTTATTACCACACTTTAATCTAAATGCCTTAAGAGGGTTCTACATTTGAGTTCTAGTTCTAAAATTCTACAATGGCAGGACTAAAAATCTTAACCAAAACCACATCCTTCATATTCTATTTTTTGGGGACTATCAATTTGTCACTACTCTATTTTGTGGCTTCTTCATTTAATATTTTCTTGCCATAAATACATCCATTTAAAGTTAATACTATGGCAGATAGATGGCTGGAAATTCTTTTCAAATACACACATAATCATACATAGAAGAAAGATATTATTAACATTCATATGATTCCCCAATATATATATTATACTGCAATCAACTGCTTGGTCTACTGTGAATGTGATGACACAATTCCTTTAGTATATTTAAATACTAATTTTGTTTCTAGAAAAAAGACCCTTAATCACACTACACATTTAATTAATGGTAGGAATAAGTCATAACAATTTTTTGTTATATACATATTGCTATAAATGCAATTACTAGTTTTATATTTGTAGTAAACAATAAAGGCTATCTATTTACTACTCAAGGCTGAGGAAAACTTACAAATGTCAAGTGTTTGGGTTTTTCTTTTTCTTAACTTTTTAACCAAGAAATCTTTTGTTTAATTGAATAAATTTAATGTGTAACATTGTGTACATTTAACGTGTACAGCATGTTACTTTGATACATCTATATATTGCAATATGATTGCCAAGGCAGTGATATTTATCACATTACATAATTATAGTACAATATTATCTATATTCATTATATGGTGCATTAGATCTCTATGGCTTATTTACTACTCATTACAAGTTTGTGCCCTTAAACATCATCACTCTTAACCACCCCCAATCCCCTGGTAAGCACCATTTTACCATCTGTTTTTTACAGGCTTAACTTTTTTAGATTCCCACATATAAGTGATATCATACAGGACTTGTTTTTCTCTGTCTGACTTATCTTACTTAGCATAACGTGCTCAAGATCCATCCATGTTGTTGCAAATGGAAGGATATCCTTCCTTCTCATAGTTGAATAATATTCCATTGTGTATATGTACCATATCATTTTTTATCCATTCATCCATTGATAGGCATTTGGGTTGTTTCCACATCTTGGCTATTTTGTGAATAATACTGCGATAAACATGAGAGTGTATATCTCTCGTGGGAAATACTATTTTCATTTCCTTTGGTTTATAGCCAGAAGTGGAGTTGCTGGGTCATACAGATTTTTTTTTTTAATTATTTGAGGAACCTCCAATTGATCTCCAAAGTGGTTGGATCAACTTACATTCCCACCAACAATATTTAAGGGCTCCCTTTTCACCACATCCTCACCAGCACCTGTTGTCTCTTGTCTTCTTTATGACAGCCATTCTAAGGTGTGAGGTGATATCTCATGTGGTTTTGATGCACATGTCCCTGACGATCAGTGATGTTGAGCATCTTTTCATGTGTCTGTTGGCCATTTTGATGTTCCCTCTGGTAAATGTCTATTAGTTCTTCTGCCCACCAAGTGTTTGTTTTACATTTCCATAAGCTATTTATAGGGTGACAAGTGACAGATGTGATGAAATGTGTGATATTGTTTGCACATTACAGTCTAGAACTATGTACAATACCTTCACTGTGACTGAAGGGACAAGGTCAGCTCCCACTTCAACATCAGTAGATTGCTGTAAACACAGAATTGAGAAGAGAAGGAAAGAATAGTTTCAACACTGCACATCAATGAGTAAACACAGTAGGTGTGATACATACTTCTCACCACCAAAAAAAACTATAAAGGATTTGTCACTCTGATGGCAGACTAAAAGAGTCAGTGTGGCTTTTTGGATGGCTTCATTGAGAAAGTCACAAGCTAATATTTAAAAACCCACGATTCCAAAAAGGGAAGAAAAGTTCATATATTTTACTATCAAACTACTCTATTGCCAAATGTCCTTAAAAACTGAAACTAATTCTATTTACTCATTCTTTATATTATAGAAAAGAAGACTTCTGTATATTTTCTATATAAACAGTACACCATTCTTTTAGGTCCTTGTATTTTTAGCTTGCCAAAGGTATGTTTTATTCTGATTAATAATATGTATTGATATCTAAGACATGTAACTAATGATATAAAGATTGAGTGGCCTTACATCTAGAAAATAAAACAAAAGTAGGAGTGTATTTTTTTTTCCTAGCGCATATCATAAACTCTTTTTTTTTTTTTTTTTTTATGGTACACGGGCCTCTCACTGTTGTGGCCTCTCCCGTTGCAGAGCACAGGCTCCGGATGCACAGGCTCAGCGGCCATGGCTCACGGGCCCAGCCGCTCCACGTGCCGTGGAGCGGCTG